CTTTCAACTCCCGCCACAGATTTTCTATGGGGTTGAGGTCTGGAGACTGGCTAGGCCACTCCAGGACTTTCAAATGCTTCTTACGGAGCCACTCCTTTGTTGCCCGGGCGGTGTGTTTTGGATCATTGTCATGTTGGAAGACCCAGCCTCGTTTCATCTTCAAAGTTCTCACTGATGAGAAGGAGGTTTTGGCTCAAAATCTCACGATACATGGCCCCATTCATTCTGTCCTTAACACGGATCAGTCGTCCTGTCCCTTGGCAGAAAAACAGCCCCATAGCATGATGTTTCCACCCCCATGCTTCACAGTAGGTTTGGTGTTCTTGGGATGCAACTCAGTATTCTTCTTCCTCCAAACACGACGAGTTGAGTTTATACCAAAAAGTTCTACTTTGGTTTCATCTGACCACATGACATTCTCCCAATCCTCTGCTGTATCATCCATGTGCTCTCTGGCAAACTTCAGACGAGCCTGGACATGCACTGGCTTCAGCAGAGGAACACGTCTGGCACTGCGGGATTTGATTACCTGCCGTTGTAGTGTGTTACTGATGGCGACCTTTGTTACTTTGGTCCCAGCTCTCTGCAGGTCATTCACCAGGTCCCCCCATGTGGTTCTGGGATCTCTCATGATCATTTTGACCCCACGGGATGAGATCTTGCGTGGAGCCCCAGATCGAGGGAGATTATCAGTGGTCTTGTATGTCTTCCATTTTCTGATGATTGCTCCCACAGTTGATTTTTTCACACCAAGCTGCTTGCCTATTGTAGATTCACTCTTCCCAGTCTGGTGCAGGTCTACAATACTTTTCCTGGTGTCCTTCGAAAGCTCTTTGGTCTTGGCCATGGCGGAGTTTGGAGTCTGACTGTTTGAGGCTGTGGACAGGTGTCTTTTATACAGATGATGAGTTCAAACAGGTGCCATTCATACAGGTAACGAGTGGGGGACAGAAAAGCTTCTTACAGAAGACGTTACAGGTCTGTGAGAGCCAGAGATCTTCCTTGTTTGAGGTGACCAAATACTTATTTTCCACCCTGATTTACGAATAAATTCTTTACAAATCCTACCATGTGGATTCATGGATTTTTTTTTTCACATTCTGTCTCTCACAGTTGAAGTGTACCTCTGGTGCAAATTACTGACCTCTGTCATCATTTTAAGTGGGGGAACTTGCACAATCGGTGGCTGACTAAATACTTTTTTGCCCCACTGTAAATGTTTTAACCTAATTGTTTATTATAGGAGTAGAAATTATATATATATATTTTTTTACATACGGCCTTGATCCATATGTGCATACAATAATATACACCTCTTCCCATCTCCAAACTCAATATAGTTAGAAATGTTAAAAAGCTTTTTAGTTTGAAAGTTGTTGTTTTTTTTTTGTTTTGTTTTTAAAAGTCTTCATCAACCTTCTTAACACTAACACAACAATTATCTGCACTTCCTCTCTCTGGAGATGTCAAGCTGAGGCATGTCTCTAACGACCACCCTCCGCACTTCCCGCTGTTCCACCAAGACAGAGAGGTGAAAATAAGAGACTGAAGACTGTAATCTCTCAAACAGGCGGTTGAGGGCTCCAATCTTGGGGGTTTAGCCCCCTGTAAGCCCCTTAAATCCCCAGTTTAGAGGGCCAGGACTGATGGGCTAAAGCCCCCACAGACGGTGTACTAGCTGCTGGTCTCAGACACAGCATGAGGACAAATGACAAACATAATTGCTGCAGCTTCCTGGTCGTTTCACATAAGTCATAAGACAGAACTGAGTTCAACGGGATCAGATACATCAGTTTTTAACACGACATGATTTGGTTGAGGTTTGGTTTCTAGTTACGGTGCACTGTACATACTAGAACATATTGTTCTTCTGTAATCACCAGCTGATGTTATTTATCATGTCTGTCTCATCCTAAAATGACTGTGAGAATACCAGAGGTGACAGATGACTCACTGCTCACAGCTGTGTTAGAATACAGGAGATTATTTCAGTTCAGATGTTTGTTTGTTTTTTGAAAACACACGATCGAAAATTAAAAAAAAAAAAGAACAAAACATGGTATTCTCGTGCCTCCAGTTGAGCTTTTTGTTATACTGTGATACATGTTTGTAGAGAAAACCTGCGGGTAAATGGGGACTGAATGTCATCTGAAAGAGGACAAGTTAGGTGACTGGCGCCATCTGCTGTAAAAATAGCAGAAACTCATTATTTCTTACCTTTTCCCAACAACCTTTGCACTCTGCATATCTTTGTCTATCTGTGTGTAAACATCAGTGGCCAAATGTGTGTGCGTGCGTGTGTGAGTGCATAGGTGGGGAAATATTCATCTCTCACCTTTCTTGTTGTTCAGCGTTCATTACGCTAGCTTAGCAACACCTGTGTAGAGTAGTGTATGGTCCAAGCCCTAGTTTGCTTATAATCATAGCAGTCATAGCTGTCAATTTTTGTAAATAATGGCAGATTTTCAAGCCCCCCAAATCTTCTACCTCGCTTGTTTTATTGTAAGACTGCGCTACCTGCTAGCATCCTTGCAAAAACACAGCTAGTCGTGTTTATTAGCTAGCTTGAACAGGTGTTTGAGCAGTTTAGTAGCATTAATTCTGAGACTCAGCTGATTTTTGGGGGTATTTTTTTTTTGTCTGTGTTAAACTTTCACAAGCTTTATACATAAGGGGCGCAGGAGTATATAACTACCTGGTGAGAAACTTCATAATTCATCTTCTTGTGAACATACTTTTGCACAATTAAGAAAATATGCCATTACCTCCACCAAAGAATTTCAGAATGCAGAATTTTAATGTTATCTCCAGTAGTTGTCTCAAATTACCCCAGGTTACTTTGAGCAATACTCATACATCTGAGAACAAAGACAGACCCAAAACTGCTAAACTTGTTTATAAAATGTAATGTTTTTCATACCAGCAACTGCCTTTCACTTCAAGCAATTTCTTAGTGACAGATTATTTTCTTGTAGACATGGATCTGATTTTAATATTATTACTGCTATTATTACTTGTAGTAGTATTGTTAGTATGTTTATTGACCATGTACATAATCCATATTGAGACCTGAAGCAAATACCTTTGAGCTGGAGAGTATGGCCAAGACATACAGCTACAGCTTCCAGTTAAAAAATGTATTTATGTAGGAAGGTAGGGCATTCTAGTAATGTGTATTTGTGTTACTAGACTCTACAACGCTACTGGGGGCAGAACATGACCTCTGAATCAATAATTCTCCAGTATTTCCCTAACAGTATACCTAATTGCCAAGCAGTCTTTTGCTCTACTTTACATAGCAATGAGCCAGTGCTGTTAGTATCTATAAACTAGACAGGAAGGGTATGGTACCAGGACCATATGCTATATAGTCTGAATCTTCTCATTACTAGGGTTCATATAACTCCCCTACACAGTTGTTTAGTTCAGAACAAGTGAACTGGACTGAAGTGCAATCTTATTGTGGAACTCAGAATCGTACCTTTATTCAGGCCAACATTCAGATAACAATAAAATGATAAATAAATACAATTACTGATCAGTCTATTAGGTACCCCTTGCTGGAACCAGGTTGGACCCCTTTTTGCTTTTAGAGCTGGCTTAATTATTCATGGCGTAGATTCATCAAGGTGCTGGAAATGAAAAAGTGTAACTAATAAAGCGGCAGGGGTAAAAAAAAAAGAAAAGAAAAAAAAGCCCCAAAACATCAATAAACTGAGGGAAAAAACAAGGGAATTCTCTGTTTATATACAACATTATCTATGCTGACATGGTGTGGTCAGATCTTACAAAAAAAGTAAAGTATAAAGTCACAAATATAATTTTAGGTATTGACCTAAAACATACCATCATTTAAAGAGCTGACATTCTGTTGATGTGCACTTGTTAAAACATTTTTTAATATACTATTGGGAATTTTTTTTGTGAGTGAGCTGTTGTTGATGCTCAGAAACCATAGCGACCAAATTCTTTACAGGTGCTCCCATTGAACTGTTTCTGAGGTGTCATAGTCATCACCCCCTGCGCTGCACGCCATTTGCTTTTCTTACATCAAGCTTTGAAGATGGTTTCATTGGGTGACATTTACACTGTGACTATATGCAGTCATCGGAAAAAGTAAGTACATCCCCTCTTTGGTCAAGAAAACAATGGATTCAACTCCCTAAGAAGATTTTCTTTTCAATCATTTGTGCCACAAAAATATTAGCAGATGTAATTATTACAGAAAAGTTTTCAGATTAAAATGAACTCCTTGCAGCTTTACCCTTCTTCATAATTGCTCACTACAGCAGTTGTATGATTTTTTGCACATTTTTACACAACCCTAATCCAATGTGTCTCCTGCCAGGTTTAAATCAGGGAGCTTTTGTCTTTTAGGCCGATGTGTAAACCAATACATGTCCCCACACAGTCGCATGTTAAAATATATGCAATAAAAAAGTAGCTCTAACAAGCCAACACTTCATATTGCATTGTTTTCATTCCATCTAATTTTAATTTGCTATTTATTAATAATCGACATCTTTTGTAACAGTTTTTTTGGAACACTTGATGCCACCACCACATCTACTAAACATTTCGCCAGAAGATGGCGCCAATGTAAATTAAACAAGTAAAGCTCTATCCCAGCGCTCCTTAATGCAGGTAGAATCTACTGGGAGCCAGTTGTGATACTTTCAAATTGAACAGAATGTCTGGTCATCTTTAACCCCACATTCATTTAATTTTCTGTGTGTCTTAAAGATATTATGCTGGTGAGAGGTCCATTTAGCCTAAATATTACCCTAAGTCTAGTGTGCTAGAGCACTGATAGCAAGTGGCATCTTAAATATTTTACTATTAAGGATTTAGAATGTCATAAGGGATAGAGACGCTTCGATCTGCTGTAGCAGTGTTGAAGTGAGTTTAAGTAAGGGCACTTAGCTGAAGTAAAATGCAAGGGAGGGGAAAGTGCGCAAGGCTTTGGAAATAGGCATGCAGGCAGTAGACCAATGCAAAGTGTTAAGCGCGGGACAGAGAGGGTTTAGCCCACACCACTCTTCCTCTGTCCAGGAGAAGACCCCGAATCTCTGCTGTGAGGCGGTCACACTCACCAATAATGTGAAAACCAGACGGAGAAGTTTGTCAGATGTTTAAACTAATCGTCGCTTCATTAGACACACGTACCGTCTTTTTTTCTTCTTCTTCCCAACCTTGTCACACAGTTTACAGTCAGGTTACAGTACGCTATCCACGAGGATACCTGGTGTGAGATGCGGCAATGTCGCGAGGAATATGCCCACGCGTAAACTCTGTCGGATGCTTTTGGATTTTCTCGCTGCTCACGTTTGCGGTGAAAGTGATCGACGTGGACACGTACAGCTGTTATGAAGTGAGGACCGCTTTCCAGCAGGTCGGGCCGCTGAACCGGGTACCGGAGACACCTGTCACAGGTGAGCGAGTGGGTTTGGCACCCATGGCGTGGAGCACTTTGGCTAAAGCGCACTATGTGCGTCTGATAGCTTTCCAGAAGCATTTTAGTCTTAAAACGAGTGAAGTCATAACACTAAAGCAAACGCCATACTTAAAAGGTGTAGATGATGTCATGTTAAATCAGCCCAGGATTTGACTTTAATTTAAAAAATAAATAAATAAATAAAAGTCCTTTAATGAATGGGCTCCTGATATCGATTACATTGCTCTTGCGAATGTGGATCACTGTGAATGGCCTTATAAGTTAAAAGTTCACTGAGGTGAAAGAAGATATTGCATCTATCTTGTTTTTACCATATTGGTCATATTAGATGGAGAATTTTGAAATAGTTTCGACCAGAGCATGTGTATATAATAATACGATGGATTGCGTGTCCACTTTCCTAGGATGATTTCTGTTCTAAACAGTGTAACATACCGACAAATCTGACATGATCTTAAAGTGAGTGAAGTCTGTCTGAACATGTTTGTCTGTTCTTTCAAGTCAAATATGTCTGTCATCTTGCATTCTTGCGTTTGTGTTTTCTTTATAAATCATATCTCTCAGCTATTATGTACACATTTAAGCTATTCATATATGTGTGAGTCTTGTCTGATATTAATTGGTCTAATATTATAAAATTTGCAGGTTCACGTGCCATCCAGCTGAGACAGGGTTTGTGAGCTACAACAGATCGAGTGTGACGCAAATAGTATCATATGATGAGGACAGTGAAAATAGTGATTGATTTGAAATCTCCTGGTTTCTTTGCAATTATTAAAGATTGACTCACACAAACTTAGAGCGTTTTATATGAATAATTTCTCTACATAGCTACAGCAGTGCTTGGAAACTGTTTTAAAAGCCTTAAAGGTTTTGGGGTCTGTGCTTTCCTCCTGCACACCGAAAAAGAATAATAGAAAAACAAAAAGAGTTAATTTATGAGGATAAACATCAGTTCAATCTTTTCTTGGAGACGTTTATAAACCAGTTTAGACATTAGTCCTGCTGTGGTAATTTTGCTTTTTTGGTAGTAATACTGTGATATGTTGTCACTATTAAATAAGGATGGTGTCAGTTTTAAGATGGAGCAAATTAGTGGCCAGTGACTATATGCAGTCACTGGCCACTATATTAGTTACACTTTGCCTTCACAATGCCTTAATTATGCATAACACAGATTCAGCAAGTTGCTGAAACGTTCCTCAGGGATTTTTAAAATTGGTTTAATGCTGATATGATAGCATCACACAGTTGCGACCCATCCATGATGAGAATTTCCTGTTGTGCCACAGCTCAAAGGCGCTCTAAGGGCTGAGATCTGGTAACTGTGGAGGCCATTTGAGTGCAGTGAACTCACTGGCATGCTCCAGAAACCAGGTTGAGGTGATCTCAGCTTTGTGACATGTTGCATTTTACTATTAGACCCACATCATTACACCAACACCAGCCTAATATAAGGCAGATTTGATTTGACCAATTCTGACAGACTTCTATTTTTTAATTTTGGTGGGCGTGGGTGAATTATAGGCTCAGTTTTCTTTACTTAGCTGGCAGGAGTGGCACCTGGTGTGATCTTCTGCTTCTGTGCTATGCTTTCAGATATGCTCTTCTCTTTATCTTGGTTGTAAACAGTGGTTATTTGAGTTGCCATTGCCTTCCTATCATTTTGAAGAAGTAGGGCCATTCTAATCCAGATAGCTGCCACACACTGGATCCTTTCTCTTTTTCAGACCTTTCTCTGTAAACCCCAGAGATGGTTGTGTGGGAAAATCCCAGTAGATCAGCAATTTCTGAAATACTCACTCCAGCCCATCTGGCACCAACAGCCATGCCACGTTCAAGTCACTTAAATCACCTTTCTTTCTCCTTTCTGATGCTCAGTTTGTCTTGACCATGCTTAAATACACAGAGTTGCAGAAGAATGTGGCTGCTAAATGCATATATTTTAATTCAACAAAGCAATCTCCTATGTTTAACAGTCATCAGTATGTCCTTTTCACCCTAGTCTACTCTTTTTGTGTGTGTGTGTGTTATGTTATTGGTACTGTTATTATTACTAAAACATTTGATGTATGTCTGCTGCATGAGGCATTTTTATCTTGTCACTGCAAAAATCAGTATGTTATTTGACCAGAGGTGATCATTATTTGGCATTCAATGTCTGTATATTGCTGCAGGCCAGAATGCTCAGTGCAGTAGTCACATGCAGGTTGGTGGCAGCTTAAGTATCAACCAGTTAGAGTCTGCATGCTGTAACTGGGAGAAGTGCAACTGATAGCTGAGTGGTAAACATACCAAGAGGTGCATCCAAACCACTCGATATGTTTGTTTAGTAGGGTGTCACTATTAGCAACAGAGAATATTCCTTTGCAAGCAGTAGTTAGCGCTTAATGACAACGAAAGGACCTTCCAAGCACGTCAGCAGTCTGAGACAAGACTTCTGTCACAAACTTTTGCACGCTCAGCTTCTCAAAGAAGCTACATAAATATCTCATTCTGCCACCTGAGAATAAAAGATGTTACACAGAGCGATGCGATGGTATGAAATGGTCTTTCTTCTTAACTGTAACAGTTTTAATTTTGCAGAATGAGGCAGTTGTAACTCCTTAGTCTGGACCATAAGTTAATAAAACATTGCTTTAGTTTCACTGTTGCATTTTGGGCTTACAGCTTGTTTTTCTTTTCTTTTTTTCTTTGAGTGGGTGTTTTGGGTTAGATGCAGTCTTGTCTTCAAAGTGCTCACCAATGGATGGGGTTGTCAGAGTGTAAGATCTGGTGTATATGTGTGTATGTGTACACAATTATGCTACTCTGCTTCAGTTCTCAGATGAAACGCCAACAAAAGCAACGCTTGAAATTTGAAGTGGCAAGACTTCAGTGCTTTTCACAGTCTGATATTTGCTTTAGGATACAGTGCTGCATTTCATGTGTGGTGAACTGATTTCTCACAAAGTGGCAGGAGTGTGGCAGCCAGAGGTCCGTCCAATTGAATGATCCCGTTTCAGATAGATGTACTTTACAGTAGAGATGTTTTCTGCAGATTTGTTTAGTCTGTATTTCTTGTTTTCAAGGACAGCACAAGTGAATTAAGTTGTGGCGTAAGAAGGACTCATATTCTTTAATTATGAAATTAAAACTGCATTGATGAAGCAATAATTCTGTGTAAAACCCAAGTGAGTAATATAAGATGTAAGGACTGGCTGAATTAATTGAGGAGACTTTAAAAGAACTTTGATGTTTTCAAATTTATATTAACACCAATATGATGTTTCATTACCAAACAATTTGCTTTTTAGACAATATTTATTCCCCTGGCTACAATTTATAGTGTAAGGAGAGACTGTCTCAATGCTGGATTCATCATCAAAGGAACTTTGATAATCAGTGACATGAAGTTGCTTATCCTCTGATTTATGACCTCTTAGGTGCAGTGGTGGAGAGCCAAACACTCCATACTGTGATTACTACGGCATGCTGATATAACCCTTTTGGAGATAGATCATTTGGAAAGTAGACAGCAAGAAGTGCTGCTCGCAGACACATAACTTGATGAATTGGGTTCCTGGATAAATTCTTTAGATATGATCAAAGTATTTTACAGCTCAGTTAAAACCTTTTAAGCAAGCTATTTGATCAGGATTGTATGCGCACCACACTCACGTTTCCCTCCCATTTTCGTATCGCCACGCTAATTCACTGAGTCATTAACAACTGTTTTAGAGAGAAAGAGAAAGTGTCTTGTGTGTTTAATGCAAAAGGGGTGAGGCCGTGTTAATAGAAAGGCGAACGGGAACTCAGTGTGTTATCACATGTCGCCACATCCTTAACCGTTTACAGTGTTAAAGGCTTTGGCAAGCTCTCAAAGTGCACCACAGTCTTTGATTGGCTCTGGCTATGTTGATTCCTTTTTTAACTTGGCTTCTCTTACTGAAGCTGTGCACACATGGAGCACACCTACTCCATACAGACTTTATTGAGCACTAGTCCATTTTCTGTCTGGCAGTTTCTCAACCATTTTTTCCCCCAAGTTGGAATGAAAATCAAACAAATAACAACATAAAAAACCCAAAATCTCCAGTTTCTTAAAACTGAGGATGTAAAATCGTAAAAATAAAATAAAAATCTTGCATGGTCTTTGATCTCTTTACTTAGATACTCCAGCCAGTGCTGTCCAGACTGAAGGTGAGATTACCCTGTCTGAGTAGGTTTTCCCATCTTATTGGATTTCAGTCTGACCCAGTCTTGTGTTTCAGATGATTGTGGTCTACGTTACCCTCCTGGCTCACTTATGTGGTGGGAGAAAATGTGATTTTATGATGTCATTTTATCTACCTCTCAAATATAACCATGTACAGTACTGTGCAAAGTCTCAAGCCACCTCACATTTCTTTATATTTTCCTTGGAAAATGGAAAATAAGTAGAGTGATTTATTAAAACATGTTAGGACATGCATGGAAATATAGTATATAAGGCAACAAGAAAGTTTTTGCAATTGCAACAAGCTTGAATATCAGTATTTAGTATGTATCAACTACTTGATTATGATCAACAGAAAAATAAACAAGCATGCCCATCTGATATTATGCTGCTTCATCAGGTTGCATCTGTTTGCCTGCCAGCCTAACATCTCTCTTTCTGCTCTGTCTGTGCCCTTTAGTGTGGTTTTAGACTCTTTAGACTCTCACTGTAGGCTGTTCCAGATTGGGGTATGGGAAAGTTAAACATTTCATTTGAGTTTCAAAGTAGTCCAAAAATGCAGGTATGTGGCAGAGACCCTTTTGAAATGTGTTTGGGTTCAACATGGCCTATCCAAAGCATCACAAATCTGTATAGAGCAAATATCCTGAAAGTTCAGTGGATCTTTGGATTTCAAAGGGAACTAACTTCCTGAGGCAGGAGAAGGGTAACTGCATTAATTACTCACTTTCTCACTTTCTAACAAAGTTATTCTTGTTCTCAGAAAAATATTAGAAAAAAAACAGCAGTATCAGGAAACCACAAACCACCTGCTCATTAGTGCATACCAAATCCAAACAACATTTCCATACCATACTGAGGCGATGTGAGCTACCTATGAATAAATTAGTACCAGAGTTGGTGCAACATATCTTCTTCTTCTAAGCATTATACTGTAGAAAACTCAAATGTGATACTTTAGTACTACATAGGCGTGGCATGTGAACAGTGGTAAACAGCAGTAGAGTTTCTTCACTCAGATGTTTTGGCTTGTTCAATGAAGGGTGCTGAGATGTTGCTGAAGGGATCATGGCTAACAAATCAAGACCCCTGAGCCATGTCATTAATGGTAAATTACCCCAGAGGTATTTGTCATCTGAGGACAATTAAGGGGATTAGAAATCAAAGTTGACGTCTAGAGGGGTGTGTTAAAGTTCAGCCAGGCAGAATGAGCAGTATGTAGATTAGGCACTAATTACAGAGCTCAGTATAATGGCCAATTGGATTGCGTGTAGAATCACATAAAAAATACATACCTTCAACTTGTAGACCGTGTACAAAGAAAATCTTGCTGTATTTCTGCACCGCAGTATTCTCTGCATGTTTCTTATATAACATTCTGATTGCCTGGAAAGGCTGGTATGAGAGTTTATCAGTTCTTGTAGATTTTCAAGATATACTAAATATGCAGTTAATCAATGAATTAATTCATTTTTGGGTGGAGTGGAGGTAGTAGAGTGGTGTATAGTTTGGAGAGGCTGGCACTAATAAAAAGACAGGAAGCTAAGCTGGAATGGGCAGAGTGCTTTATTGAAACATGTGCAAACATATGTGGAAATACAGTATATAAGGCAAAAAAAACCCCAGAGTCGCCAGGTAGGAGGTTCATGGAAGTCAAACATGCAGAGGTTGACAGAGGAAGATGATAGGGATAGGGTGAGGTGGAGGCAGATGCGCTGTGAAAGAAGTTTTTCCAGCACCCTTGCAATGTGTTTTTGATGGTACAAAGAAAATCATCAGTACATAAGTATTCCTTATTCATTCATTCATTAATAAAAAATGTATTTGTACTTACAAGGGCATAGCAGTTGAAAAGGGATCACTGGTAAGTAATCAAGAATTGGAGTCACTGATTTGCAAAAGTTTGTGTAAGGAATTTAAAAAAGTAGCACTTAATTAGACAGAAACAGCATCATGAAGATGAACAAAGATTGCAAACTCATAACAAGGTTACAAAAAATTAACAATTACATAATGAAGGGTCAGTACTGAGTGACCACCACGATACTTGTGTAAAGCTGCGAGCCGTGGCTGAGATTGCAGAGACAATTGCTGTTTTATATCATAGAGGAAAAGAGAAACAAAATCTGGACACTTACTTATTTCCCAGCAATAAAATAAATAATAAAATAAAACGGCTGTAAATCCTACAAAGTTTTTGCTTGAGTTTGTTAAGCTCAAATTTGGGTTATCTGATTCAAAATGCACTGTGACGACGTAGAGCCAAATGACAAAAAAATTATATATAGATGTGATTTTATGCAGGAATGCCTTAAAGGCAACAGCGTTGACACTGTGCAACATATGAATCCTTCCACCTGAAGGTTTGAGGCATGATTGGGAAACTGCTGTTAAGTCAACATCCTCAAGCACTTTGACAGAGCTGGGTAGTTTGCCAAGTATAATGGGGGAAATTTGCTATTGTTGCTATCAACTGTTGCTTTTTCCGAATGTGTCCTTTTGTTTTTTGACTTTGCAGAAGTTTTCATTCATGTTGTAACTGAGCAGCCTTTTAAGACCCATGCTACATTCAAGTGACTTAATGTTAACCAGTCACGCAGCAATGAAAGACAGAAATAGGATGGGTTTTAAAGATTTGTATGTTGGCTATACTGCAATTACAAAGGCATTATGGTTAAAACATTTTCACAAAGATGAAAATTGATACATACAGTACAATATGTCCTGTATTGTAGACTTCAGTGAGTCGTGGGCCTGCGTTCACAGGTTCCATACTTCTCCTTCATGTAGAAAGCACCAAATAAATATTCAAAAAGATAAAAAAGAACAAATTCAGGAGTTGTTCGCTACGACAGGGGGGGAAAGCAGTGGCATGGGCTGATTGCAGGAAATGGCTCAGTATATTTGGTACACAGTCAGCCTGTCCTGTCTGCTGCGGTGGCTTTAAGAGTCAAAGTTTTCCTGAGTATCACTTACTCCACACAGTTACGCTCAGTGGACGAAGAAACCAGGCTGAATTCCACTATGAGTCCCTGGATATTACTTTCATATCACAGATAACACGCAAACACAAAAGAGAGAAGGAGCCAGCCAGTGAATTGAGCAGGGTCAGGGACAGAAGCGGAGAGAGGACATGCACCACATATAGGGAAATCTTAGCCTAAAAATGGAGCAAAAACAATACTTTGTCCTTTCAGAAATCTTTAAAGAAAAACTTGATGTATTTTTAATGTCAAATAAGCATAAATTAAGCTTAATTCAAGTATTTCCCAGAGTAATAAATGACACTAAAATTGTTATTGGATGTTTTATTACAGGATCAAAAGCTACAAATGTTTGTGAAGCACTTCTAAAACTAACAGTTTGAGCTTTTTTTTGCATGTCATTTGTTCTATAACTCAACTGTTTGTCCACGCTAAAGAGGTCCGAACTGGGTGGAGATTTTAAAATCTATACAGTGACTGACCTATTTAATCCAAAGTGTATGAAATGAACAAACGAGTTAACTCTAAGCACATGCTTGCTCTGCTTCTTAAAGGTTGTTTACTGTAGTAGTTGCTGGATGGTTCTTAACTTTTTCATTCTCAGAAAGTTCATGACTTTTGTGCAGTGGAGGATGTCAGCTTTAAGTCAATCATTGTTGGAAGATGGGATGTGTATGTTTAAATTACCCCTCTGCAAACAAATAAATGTTAGATCAATTTGGGTCTGTGTACCCAATTTGAGCTTTATATGAGCGTTTTGATTTGATTTGGGCTTTTAAAGTGATTAGAATCTCAATATTAGGCTCCATGTAATAATAGCCAGGGCCAATACAGAAGGGCTGGACTGCTACAGAGATAGAGATAATGAGCTGTAAGGGGCAGGACAGCCAGTTATGACTTCACTCATCTGGCTCTGAGATGGGAACAAATGGAGCCTCACTGGGTAATTAAGAGACACCCAGGCCTCACAAGGATATGCCAGGCAAATGGGGATGAGGGAGGGAGGGAGGAGAAGGGAAAGAGGGATTCAGAATGAAACCCTATTGTGTTTCATGGTGGGATTTGGACAGTGAGGCACTGGTCTTGTGGTCTGTCCTTAGGCCATGCTTTAGGCTCTGGTTACAACACCTGCCTCCAGCCACTCCTGTTCAGCCCTTCCCCCAGTAAAATGAGTTATCATACCAGACTTATACATTATGAAAATGGAAAATGAGCATGTGCATTTGTGCAAATAAATGTGGGAAAGGGCCGTTTCAGTGACATTGTAATTGTATTTATAAAGTATTAAAAGCACTGGTGAGAAGTAGGTAACACTGGTAGAGTACTACTGTACAAATTTCTAGTTGAACTAAACTATGTGCTTGTAATTAAATTGTAATTAAACTGTTCTTTTTTTATTGTATTAGCTGATGAACTGGAGTATTGTGATTAACAGGAGGTTTTTTTTATAGATGTGATTTCCCACCGTTGTTGCTTGTATTTGTGTTTGTGCTTGTGTGTAAACCTTTGTGTGTTTGCATTGCACCAGTGTACATCCTGATATGACCGATGTGCTCAGTCACATCAAATTGAGACAACAATATATTTACCAGGAAAATATTATGACTGGAAACATGGATGATGACTTTCACTTCCTGTCCTCTGGCTCTTCTGTCTGTTAACGTTATAGCTTGTCTAAATTTGGATTGACCAAAAAAAGAGAACAGCAAATAAACTAAACCTGCTTTTTTACTTTCTTAGATGCAGATCTGTTGTTTTGTAAGCACCAAGGCCCATCCTGCTGCACCCGGAAGATGGAGGAGAGCTACCAGTTTGCTGTAAAACGGGAAACTCTCCATAACATTCAGGCCTACACCCATGAGATTAAGCATGTGATCGCTTTCCATGTCGATGCCTTCCAGGGTAAGTTCATATACAATGGGGGTCAAGCTAGGGCTGAATTGACCTGAAACTGTTTTTTATGTATAGTATAATTATTCAGCGTGTTGGTAAGTTGTTATGCTTCACCTACGTATGACATACCTGCAGCACACTGTACCTGCCACTGCATGGGACTGATAGCCCAGAGAGGCTGGCTTCTGCAAAGAATCAAGCTAGAAAACCCAGCGTTTGTTGACCTGTAACTGAACTTTATTTCCTCTACTAGAATCCAGATTAAACAATAAAATAAGCAAATATCTAAGTTTATTTGCTTGTTTCCAGGCAAGAATATTTATTTGTAAGTTTTCACTCAGATTCCCAGGACCTTGGTAACTGGCGTGCAGGCAAGTGTAACTGAGGAAATGGGCATGGTCCCACTTCTTCTCTGGGTTTGGCAGCAACAGAAATATGAAGCAGGATCACTGAGGGTAGACGGGAAAAGAGAGTATGGAGGTCTTTTTCTTAGCCTCTAGTGTTTTGTGGAAGATGGTCTGCTTCAGAACGGTCCAGTCCTGCTCCTGGGACAGTAAAACAATGACTGCAGTCCTTGGAAAAATAAATTATAGTAGTTTTGAAGTAGGGTGTAACAATCCTTGAAAGTAATAGTTCTTTTTGCTTTTGTTCTTTATTTATTTATATAATTTTTGTTTGTGATGCCTCTTTGATATAAAAAATCTTTGCTGTAGATAAAAGCCTATCTTGGAAGTTAAAGGTCTTTGTGCTACACACAACTAAATCAAGCAGTGCACCAGCTTCCCAAGTTTGCCCTCCCTCCTCCACTAATTGCAGTGTCATTTAAATAAAAAAAACAAATCTAAAACAGACCAGGTTTTTCCTCCAGTACAATGCCACTCGGTAGGAAACATGCCTCGGATGTTTTAGTGCTACAGGAATTTTAGTACCATGCAATTAGTTTTATATGGCCACAAACTGCTTTGATGCAGCATTGGCCAGATTTTTGATACAAAGGAAGCAAGAAACACTGCTGGTCTTGGTGTCTAATATGAAATAATGGAGTAATAACGGGTAAGGGAATGGTCCTGTACATCGATGCCATGGAAATTACTGCTCACGTTTAACTCATGTATGTCATCTGGAAAGTGTATACTCATCCCCATAATGTTTCTTGAACTAAAATGAAAGCTATGTGAAATTCCACTGCTTGAACACAAAGCATTTTTATAAGTGTTTAAACGTTTCTAGAGATAAGCTCCTCTTACAGCATGCTCATAAACCAATTAAGTGAAATAGCTGTGTTTGTCCTTTTCAGGGTTATTATTATTCCTCCCTCCTTACCTCATGTCTGAGCCTTCCTCGTGAATGAAGATCAGGTGTTCAACATATCCTGAAAAGGCCAAGATGGAAAATAACAATGGAATAACAATAGAAACTGGATGGTGCCGAAAATGATGATGTCACTAGGCTTTAATTTTCAAGGCCTTCTAAGGACAGTCTCTGAGCTGTCTGAGAGCCTGTAGTGGAATGTGAAGTAGCCGGTGCCTCATATACTGAAGTAACAAGAATATGAATTTGTCTGATAACATTGGTGCTGTTATTTAAACTCTAAATGATAGGAAATTGTCTGTGGATCACCTTTTCCTCCTATTTCTTTTTGTTTGCTCTCAGCTTATATTCAGGTGTGTGCAGCAAATCTCACGACGGGTGCAGTGTCTGAGTGTTTTTTTACACTGTTGTTCATATTATTTGAACTCAAAGCTCTCATGCTGATTGGTAAGGTTAGCCAAAAGGATATGCACACTGGAAGTTACATGGGGGTGTGTGAGGAGTGTGTCTGCATGTATATGTGCTTTCGTTGGACATCGTTTGTTTTGACAGCCTTAAATTTCCTACTGTGCTTTGTCTTATGTGGGAGTTGCCATGTCATGAGTATGACCCCCTAAATGCAGACCACATGTGCGCTTGTGTTCCTGTAATAATGTGAATAAACAGGTTTGCCTGCTAGCTTCAAAATCTTGAAAATATACAATTAACCTTAGCTATAGTCCTTCCACCTCATCATACCAGTAAAACCCACAGCCCTAAAACCCACAGCCAGGTTATTAATTTTCAGGCATCAGCCCCTCTCTTCCTTATCATTCATTCTTCCTAACATTAAACCTCCCACAGGATCCTCACAGATACACCTAGGTCAGCTCACTACTCTCCCTCTCTCAACCATAGCACAAACAGTCATAGTCTAATCCATGTCATAGCTGATAAGGAATGGTCATTGGGCACTGATGGTTGGTAGGTGTGAACCACAGAGCCCGCTCTAAGCTCGGTCAGCTTAAAATTGCCATCAAGGGCTTTCGGCTGTCACCCTGCCATAGCCAATCAGATCTGGCGTGATCTCGCTTGGAAACTTTTCTGTGGCCTAATGTTTTCTTGCTTGTTGTAAAAGGATTCTTACTAGGATTTTAGTAGATTCTTGTTCAGGGGAACTCTTGTTTGCAAGCTGTTGAAAAGGAAAATGAATTTCATGTGTTTGTTTGTCTGTGTGTGTGGTGTCTGCGTGTGTGTGAGAGTGTGAATGACAGGTGGGAATGATGAGCAAGAGAGTAGGTATCTGGGTATATAGTCACGAGGCTGGGATGGCAGATGTCAGGAAAATGCTGACACTTTTGATCACTAGTGACACCGATATGAGAGGGGGGGGGCCTGACTCACAGCTAAAGGCCATTAATGTTTGTGTAATATAGAAATTTTGAACATGTGTATATTACATGTGCAGGATATTGTGTGTCTGTGTGTGAGCATATACATATGCACCAAAGACATGTAAGCATGTACAATATTTACCACCTTCACTAGACACTGTGGCCACCTTGAGGCTCAAGTTGTCCTCACAAGACTTGACAAATACTTTTTCAGAGAAATGTACTCTCTTGGCTTAAATATCATACAAAGTGAGTGCACTACATTTGAAACTTTGCAGTACGTGCCCTTTGAGGACAAGGAGTTAATTTGAGAAAGAGTGACAGGGACTGAAAACCACGCCATATAAAGAACGATTACTTTTCTCACTGAGGTGGCATAATTAGCTGATCCTTGTTTCATCATCCAGGAACTCTCCAGACGCCTGGCAGGCTATGCGTGTGCTTCTGTGTGCGTGTGTGTGCGCGTGTATTTCAGCACATGAATTTCAGACCCAATGTGATCGAAAACCACAATCGAAGACTTGAAGATACTTGAAGGCCTCGGCTTTTAAAGGCATAATGCAGAATAAGAAGACGAACTAATGGGGGGAATAGATAATGGGAATGCACAATAATAAGTGAGTCACTGTGAGATTGTTTGTCTTCCCAGGTGGCTTAGTTCTGCCTACAGTAATTGTCCCCCTGCCTTTTGGGAATTTACAGCTCTTCTAATTGCCTTTTTAGACAGTAGTTTCCATGTTAGTTGCTCTTTGCACTCACAACCCCATGCCTCTCATTTCCTCTCTCTCAGCACTGACAGGCAAACAAGAATACCTAGCCTGAAGCGTTTTAGTTTAATTAAAAAGTTTGCTTAATGCTTTCTTTATTTTAACTGTCAGAATCATCCTGGGTGGCCCACACAACGCAGCCTTTGTTGAGCCAACAGGTTCATTTATTGCATGTATTTGATTTGATTTATTGCTTTTGCATATGATTGGAAGAGTGAGTCACTTGACTGCTACATCCTGTTTTCAAGCATCGTTTATCCATCAGATTCAGGTCCCTCTATCTTTATTGCAATCTCTGGATTTGTCTGCAATGTCTTTCACTAATTTTATCCCGTCCTCTCTCACATCATCATTTTTGTTCTCTCACTTCACGTCTGCGTGTATATTTCTCTGCAGATGTTTTAAACGACAGGGTTATTGCTCTAGAGGCTGACGTTTGGACACAGAATGACATTGCTCGGCGCTATGAGCTCATGCTCAAATTAGGGAGGATATCCGGAATCGGTCCCTACATGTCTCATTTAGTCTACAGGGTGGAGGGAGACTGTGTTTATAGACTTAACATTGGAGCAAATGCACTGTCTTTCGAAGTGCGTGTGTACTAAGCGTGTTTCTATTGCAATGCCTTTCTAGTCTCCTGAGTAAACATGACACATGAGGACAGGATGCAAGAAGGATGCTTTCAGAGTTTGGAGAACTCGGCCTCACTGGGGAAAAGTGGGAAATAACAAAAGGAAAAGAGGGAGGAGCAAGGGAGAAGCTCAACGTGCCATAAAGTCTTGAAGTTGGGCTCAAATCTGTCCTAATTACCTCTGCTTTTCATTTGCCCTTCTCACCTCATGAATGTGTGAGAACCCAGAGAGCAGGGACTGGGGCCTTGAAAGTGAGCAGAGAGAAATAAGATGAAGGGAGGGCTTGTTGCTAAAGGAAGGAGCACAGTGAAGTGTGCACAGGTGTGTTTGAATGTGCTTCTGTCAGGTGTCTACCTGTGGGAGAATGCATGCTTTTAATGCATATGTATACCTTTAAAACCACTGAGTGAACAGGCTTTTTCTCTGTAGAGTCACTACGTGCTGCTACCCTCTTGACAACTTTCCTTTTTTATCGTCCCGGGTGTCTCTCTCTCCTTCTCTCTCGCTTTCTGTGAACCGTGCTTTGTCAGCATTGGTTGCTTAACAAGAGCATGCTGGGCCCAAGTGGGCAGCGTGCCAGTATCTTGAACTTGCTGGCTGGCATGTGTGCTGCAGATCGCTCTCATGTCTTAAAGATAACATGGCTGCCAACAGTGCACTCTGCAAAATAGAACCATAACCATAAACACATCTCTGTTCTCCGCTGTCATATTTAATCCAAAAGTCTTCTTTTGTTTTTCTTCATTAGCCACCATCTTCCTCAGCAAGCACGCATGCATCACAATATTAGATTGAATGCCTAAGCAAATACCATAGCGGTCTAGATATCTGTCCAGCCTTGTGCCAAGTTCTATTGCAATGATTAGAAGGAACCTTGGATAAATATCCAATTTTTTCCCCTTCTCACAAATTATTTTCTGAGGCTG